TGGAACGAGGAATGGGTCTAAAGCCCTTGGACTAAAAGTTCTATAGTGGATACCCAACCTAGCTGGCACCTAAGTTCAATGGGACAAATAAATTATGGAACGGAGCGTGTCACTATGGGGGTCTCGGATTCCCTACCACTCCTCATTAGAACAGTGACTCCCGCACGAGGCTAGAAATGAGATCGAAAAGGCTTGATTTAAGCCCGAGCTCGTGTGCGTGGGCACGAATATCGTCCGAAAATTGGCTAGCCTTGCGGGCTAAGTTATGCCAATTTCTGTACAATTTTTTCCAACACTGAATGGCCACACCATGAGAGTTCAAAGTCTCATGTGCGTTACATGAGAGTTCAACTTTCGTGTGGCTGCTGTTGAGCAGAACGAGAGTTTGACTCTCGTGTTGTGAGCACAGACGAGAGTTCAGTCTCGTGTGCACTGACGCACGAAAGTTTGTGCGTCCCGAAAGTGGTTGCCTTGGACGAAAGTAATCAAGATGAAGCAGCGGGAACCATTCGTTGGTTCTGGACTGTTACAGAATTAATCTTGTATTAATTCCCGTTTTGAATTTTGAATTAAAACTCAAATAATAGTGGCTGTTTCAGGTGTTACAAATCGTGCATTAAATGCCAAAATTGAATGCTATTGAGTCTTTACCTCCTATATAAGAAGGGAGTGGGACAGCAGATTTTTTAGACACACAGTGAAGCAGTGAAGAACTACGAACAAACACACACATAGTTTTACTCTCTAAAAACTCTGCTCCTACTCCACTCTTGAAGTTGTGTTCTGCCAGTGCTCTAGTTCGCCGGGTTCGTCCGTTTGGGTGCTCGAACGTCGAACCGTTGTACGTTTTAACCTGGGAAGCCTAGGCCACAACGCTCCTAGCACTTTTGGGAGGTGGCAAATAAGGTTTTAAGGAAAAAGGCACTTTGCCTAACTCGTACTAATCTTTCTTCCTCTCCTTTTTTGTTTTGGATTATACTCTAAGCAAAAATCCTTGCTTCATTTTTGTTTGATTGGAATTATAATCTGAGGATTATAAGTTCCAATTTTTGGTTGACATATATTGGTATATCTTTTTCGTAAATAACTAAATATATACGTATATATAACATTTGGATCCGGTTTATATATATTTGTGTGTATATATATATTTCAGATATATATCCAATAATATATATATATATATATATATATATATATATATATATATATATATATATATATATATATATATATATATATATATATGCTCCGGATCGCATGAGGTCACATAGATAGATGAGTTTATGAGATCCAATCATATCCATTAGATCATTGCATATTAAAGGGTGAGATTGAAATAGATTTTGTATGCATTTCAGGTAGTAGTCTATGCGTAAGGGTGAATAAGTAATTGTAATATAATAGATATTTATGGTTACAAATAATTTGGAATATATTCCATGATTACCAACTGATTGTTGGAAAGGATTATTTATTAACGGTATTATATTAGTAATGATACGCTGGTGATTCCTGAACGCAAGCACTCGCCCATCAGCCTCACGGTGCAGCGGTTGTTTGACATCAACGACCACAGTGATGGTGCTACCGGACACAGGTATTTGCATATGTTTTAGAACTATTTTAGGCTTTACGATTGGTGTGCATATATTATAATGGGTCTGTGCGTCGAGAATCAGTTGTGTGCAAGTCAGTGCATTTCGAAGCGTGAGTGTCTAATGAGCGCATGAGGGTGGCGTTTACTTCGAATATTTTTACGAAGGGGGGGGGGAGGTTTGGGTTCTGTGTATTGATTTTTATTTTCTTGTTTATGTGTTTTTGTTTTTTACCGGCGTGGTGGTGTTGTTGGGGGTGTTGATTTGTTGATGGGGTGTTGTGTTAATCGGACGGTTCACGGGGTTATATAATTCTTTTCCTGGAGATGGTTTTGTTTGGTTTTTTTTCCCCGGTTTGGAATTCGTTAGTGAGGTGTGCGTTATATAATGATGGAGTGTGCGAATGTCGACTGTTGTTTTCAAGAAGGGGGTGGCGAAAAATTTTTTTGTGATGCGGTTTGTTTTGATAGCATTTTTTGGGTGGAGTTTGTACATCTGTTATTTGGAGATATCTTGACGAATACATTTACGAATTAAAGCGTACAGTATATGTGTTGAGTGTGGAAGAGCTGTTTTCCTTGTGCAATGTTGGAGATTTATATAGTAATGGAGATTAATATTTCAGATGGACTACCATGAAAAGCTTAAATAATATTTGGTGTTGTGGAGTTATAAATATTATTTTAGTTTGGTAGAAAGTAAGTTGGGAAATATGTTTTCGTATGGTTGAAGTTTCGGCTATATGATGAACTTTCGTATGAACTTTTGGCTATTTGGCTCCTTTCGGCCAAATGAAAATAATGAAAGTTCACATTCATAACAAGTATTAATATATACATTAACGAAAGATGGCTTTCACTTCTTTCTTTTGTTTTGAATGTACTGCATGCATGACTAGTTATATATATATATATTTTATATGTTTATTCATTTTGCATGTTAACATGCAATGAATAATGAATATATATAATATATATATATTTAACGTTGCTATTTTGTATGCAGTGCATGAACCTACGAAGGTCCGTATCATATGAATATATATAATATTAAATTATATATATTTCTCTCATGCCTGATATATCAGATAAGATATATCTTATGGAAGTTAGAGTTTTTGAACTCCTATAACTTCCATGTAACTTCTCCTAACTGCTATATTTATTTTATATAAATATCTGGAGAAACATCTGAAAAATGCAGAGAAAAAGAAAATAGGCAATTGATGGAGGCAATCAACTTGCAGGAAACCAAGACATTTCACAGGCTTACAATTCTACAGGAAATTCTCAAACAGAGCAACTTGAGAATTTAATTCATCTTCTTGTATCCCATAAGATTAAATCTTGAACCTTGTTGCTTTTATAGAGGGAGATTTAAAGCTTATAGGAAAGTGATTACACGCCTGAAGATATCAAATGATCCAGTTTTTGTTCCCTGTTGTTTTCTGTATTTTGTTGTATTTCAAATGTATTACAGATTACAAGCCCTTTTTCTAACATGCAATGCTGTTTTAATTACACCGCATATCAATTTTCTTGTGCAGTGTGGAAATCACTCGCAAAATTGATTGTTTTTTAAAAATTGTTTCATCCTTTGCGATGGTATTTACTAAGACAGGTGTAGTAAGAAACACGTTTGTTGGGCGTTTTATTAGCGGCCTGTGCGTCGTATGGTCGTAACATGTGCATGGTGTGTGCTGGGTTGGTGCAACGTAGATACTGAGCATGTGCAATGAAGTATAAACCCATACGCATAGACTAATTATTTTGATGATGAAAAGATTACTTGTGGTTTACTATGAATATGTTAACGAAACATATGTTACAGGTGTGTGCAGTGCAGACGACATCGATGCAAACGAATCAGAAAAGGAGTGCAGAATGGATATTAGCCCGGGAGGTACGAAATATTAGTATACAGAATGCGACCGTAGCCTGAAACCATATGAAGGTCAAATGTTTAATACACTGGAAGATGGAATCCAATTTTATACGATGTATGCCACAACAACCGGATTTGATGTGCGCCGAAGTTCGGATAAAAAGAACAATTTTGGTATTGTTCTGAAAAAGGATGTTGTGTGTTCGCGGCAAGGGTTTAAGGAGACTAGGGGCAAAGAAACATTGGGTGAAGGAGGGGGTTCGGAGAAGAAGCAAAGGCAGACCACTAATAGAGTTGGTTGCGGCGCTAGGATTGTAATGAAGATAGTTTCTGCCGAGAGACATAGGGTTCACAAATTTGAAGAAAGACACACACATTGTCTGTGCGAGGAAAGTCACAAACCATTTATGAAAGTCAATCGCAAATTGGAGATTGCACACCAAGAATTCATTACTAAGTGCGAAAAAGCAAACGTTGGTGCAAGCAAAAGTTTCGACATATATGCCGAGATTGTAGGGGGTCCCGAGAACATTGGTGCGACGCAACAGGATTTTAAGAATTACAGAAGAGAGCTATTAGCGTACATGAAGTGGGGAGATGTGCAAATGGTTATATCAAACTATCTTGAGCAGAAAACAGATTGTGCTGATATGTACTTCGAATACGAGGTGAACGCAAATGATCAATTAGCTCGTGTCTTCTGGGCGGATGGTATGGCAAGGAAAAACTACGGTGCGTTTGGCGACGTGGTATCCTTTGATGCAACGTACAAAACAAATAGGTATGAAAGAGTTAATTTAAATAGATAGGTGTGTAAATTTAAATTTTTGGCATAGGATGAGGTTGTGTTTGGGTAGCGACGTATACAGGAAGTGAAGAGTATGATGTGCATTTTAATTAGGGCAGTGCGTGTGTGTAAGTGAGTTCTTTACTAGCACGGTGCGTGGATGTATGCGAAACTACGTATAATGTAATTTAAGGGCTGTTTGTGCATGGGTTGTAAGTCTGTGCGTGACTATAGTATGTCTGTGCATGTTTTTGCAATGTGTGCGTTTGATTTTTTTTGCCAAATATGTGACGCCCGATTAATTGCTATGTAATGGATTCAGGTACCACCTTGTGTTTGTCCCATTCACAGGAGTAGACAACCACAAACGATGTGTGACGTTTGCAGCGACCCTGATTGATAAGGAGGACGTGGAGTCGTACAGTTGGGTAGTAAAACACTTCAAGAACGCAATGGGGACTGCACCACCTATAGTAATAACCGATCAAGACCCAGCTATGAAAATTGGAATCGCAAATGTGTTTGGAGGTAGTCGTCATCGTTACTGTATGTGGCACATAATGACTAAGGTTAGCGAGAAAGTGGGGGCCGAGATGTCAAAGAATAATGAGTTCCGGAGGGCATTGAATAGTGTTGCGTGGAACGAGAAAGCAATGAGATCAGAATTCGAGATTGGGTGGAAAACAGTAATTGGGAAATACAACCTACATGAAAACCGATGACTAACGCGTATGTACGAGGAGCGTGCGTCATGGGTGCCCGCGTTTTGCGATGATGTGTTCATGGGTGGGCTACTACGTACCACTTCCCGTTCAGAGGCGGAGAATAGGATTTTCCAGGGTAACATGAACAAGCACCTATGCCTGGTAGAGTTTTTCACCCGCTTCGAGCGTGCGGTAAGAAAACAACGAAAGAACAACCTAGAACTGACCGCAAGTTGCATCGGACAAACACCAGTTTTTGAGACACAACTACGAATAGAGCGATCAGCTGCAACAGTGTACACTTTGACTATTTTTTATGAGGTCCAAAAGGAAATAAGTGCAGGGTGTTTTAAATGTCGAGTTCGATCATTCACTGAGGCAGAAGGGTTGAAGACATATATGGTTGAGGATGAAAATGAGCAACGATACATAGTCATAGTGCAAGATGGGAGCAACATAGCATGCACATGCAGAATGTACGCAAGAGTTGGTCTCCTTTGTAGCCATGTTTTTGTCGTACTCAAAGATGAACGTATCGATGACATCCCCCCACAACATATTACACCCCGATGGACGCGAGAAGCCGTGAAACACTCCCCTACTGATACGGACGGAGATAAACAGAATGGTAACAACACTTTTGGGCACGACAACAATGAGGAAGGACAACTAATGAATATATTTCGTAGATGTTTGGGCAAGGCTAAAGGAAGACCAGAAAAATGAAGGAGATGAGACTGTGCATGGAAGAGTTTGAAGCAACATTCGGGGAGGACGAAGAACCCGATTTGAATGTAAGTGGGAAGCGTGCAATAATGGAGTCGTATTGCGGTGTTGTAACCCCAAAGACGATAGAAGTGCATCCTCCTCCCGTAGCAAAAACCAAAGTTTCTGGCAAACGAATGAAATCAGCAAGGGAGACAGCAATGACGAAGCATTATAAGAAAAAACGCACATGCAAAACATGTGGACTAGCCAATGGCCATAATAGCAGAAGCTGCCCACGAAAGTAGTTAGACCATTAGTCCATTATTAATTATTAAACAGAACTACAAACATCCGAATAATAAGTGTTTTTTGAGATTCTAAGATGAATAAATGGGATGGGCACCTGATGTGCAAATATCTTGTTGTCTGTGTGCATTGTGCGTTATGAGAAATTAATTTCCTACGGTTTGTGCATGATTTTGTGATACAATTCGCCTTGAAACTGGCATGGACTAAGGTGTTAAACCACCCGAGGTTAAAACAGAATTTGAGTTAAATGTAATTGAAAATGAAAAGAATAAACTCTCAGAAATCGAATAATAACGACAATGGATAGTTTGAATGAATAAGGATAATATGTTGATGTAAGATTTAAAATATATAACACATTTGTGAACATGTTACGGGAAAGTTTATAAATATTTTGATTGTGCCGACCTAAGCGCGAGTAACCGTTATAGCTGTAGCATAAGCACCGATACGGACATGCACTAGCAGTGTTTTAATAGCTATATATAAAGGAAAAAAAGTAATAACCTAGGTGAATTTGACAAAATAAGACAATAGAACGTTCGAGTAGATTAGGAAAATACTTAGGTGATAAAGTCTAAATGACTAACGAAATCAAAAAATTTTAAGCAGAGAGCTAGTAAACGTTGTTAGTGTTTGGTAGCATGTGCAAGTGAGTGTTATAGTCGGAGCACAAGCATTCGTATAAAATGTAGTCACAGTAATACCAAAATGCGATATTTAAAATGAAATATATTACGTTTTTGCAAACGTTTACAGATGCAAATGGACCCTCTGAAGTGATAAAAAAGATGCGTGTATGTTAAATTGAGAATGGTTTTAAATTTTTAAGTGTGCGATGGCCAGTGCGTGCGAGTTAATGTTTGACTCGTAGCAAACTTGGGTATTGATCATGAACGCGCACTTAGTAACAGCGTTTGAATGGAATTGTATGTGCAGCTTCGAATATTGGTTCGGGCAGACAGTTGAGAGGTTGTAGGGGTTTTGGTTTAATGGCAATTGGTTGTGTGACTTGTTACAGAGTGGTAGAATGCACTACTAATAAAGACAGAAGCTCGCACAATTAGCTACGCAGAGCTTGTGCATGAATAATAGAATGCACGGACACCATATGCAACGAAATACCATACAAACCGAAATAGAGAGCTAAATATTGAAACACGTTCGTTTAATGTTAGCGCACGCAACAAAATATCCAATGGTCTAGCAACACCCAAACTTAAATGTATGCAAAAAAAGTAGATGCGGTAAACAACCGCCAGTGATACGCGTCCCGTTCACCACCTTCCGTTCACTGGGCACCAGCAACACTGTTGACAATCACTTGGCGACGTGTATTTCTATGAAACATAAGAATTTCATAAACATACCGAGCACGGAGGGAGAGCAACGCACGTGCGTCGCCTCGGCTAAGACCGCAATCCCAGGAAGCAATAGACTGACCAATGTACGTCTCCATATGAGCATGGCAAAAACACCACAATCCACCTTATTTTTAATATCGCGCCATGACATTCGGACTCTCCTTGGGAGAAGTTGCAACACCTTTACATAAAGATCTGGATAACTAGCATCCTCAAAGAATACCGATAGAACATCTCTCTGTATAAAGTAAAAAATTAGTCAAAACGCCAAATGAATACAATGGTGACTAGTATGTAACGATCCACCATAAGTTAAAAAGTGAAACACCAACAAAAGAATAAGGACAAATAAATACCAACACAGTAGGGGTATCCCCGTACTTGTCAAGAGATACCCCCCCGCAGATGAGTTATCGATGAAGTCAATTTTCTGGCGCCGGACGTCAACAGCAACGACATAATAATGCGACTTATCTATTATCGGAAAGATCAACTGCGACAAAAGGTGTAGCGCATACACCAAAATTAAGAACCGATTTCACATACCACAAGACAAATGGACACATATAGAGAAATCTCAAATTCAAAATAATGAATGGATTAGGGATTGCACTAACCATGTCAATATCCGACCAAAACTCATATGGTGACACCTGCAAATCTGCCTCTAACGCAGTAGAAAACCAACCCAACCGGTGAGACCATGCGGCTGTACTTTGAACCACCGAGTACAACTGCACTACAAAAAAATATTAGTATCGAAATGAAACGGTTCCTAAGGGAAAAAGAGACGACCTATAAGGCGAGGATGGGCTAACCGTTGTGGTTGGGGATGCAAATAATCGCTTTGGTGCACCAACCAGTTTGGTCCTCTCACGGGCATTCAAAATGCATGACCAAGCACTCAACACACTCACAAGCACTTGGTTCCCTTCCAACAATGACACAAAGTCGACCCGACGAGCAGAACGGCCACAATAGTTAAATAATTCTGCCGTCCTATGACATTAGAATCACTAAATTCAAAAACATAAAACGTCGAAACCCCGAATGAGCTAAAGTAATAAAGGGAAAATTCTTACAAGTCAACGTTAGCAGTACGGGCGACCCAATCATAAACCGCTTGAGGGTCAACATTATTGGCAACATTCATATTGGCAGCGCGGGTACGCGTGAGGGGCGCATAAGAATTAAAATCGATGGTGCGCAAAGCACCGACATCATGCGATACATGACGTGAAGTCGTAATTAGTGCTGCACGCATTGACGGACTGGATGCCACACCCTTGCACGGACCTAGTGTATTGTTTTGCTACGACATGAAAACAGATTAGGGAACAATAAATATGTACAAAAAAATTGAAAAAGGCGTGGCCAAAAAGCAACCAGGGAGACAACAATACCTCAGGAGGAATTGAAAATACATGCTGCGAGGTGGTACCACCTACACCCCGGCCACGTGCAGTCACGCCCCCGACCGTACCGGAAACCCCAACGGACAGTGCTTTTGGGGCAACCGAGAGTTGGTGTTCCAACGCACGCACCTATTACCAACATGGGTGTGGGACATACAGGATTGAGATTGATGGAATAATCGTGAGCCGTAAACTGGTATACTGATTAGAAAACGACATCCACACTAATACTTACAGGTACACAAGGTGCAGACCTAGTACCCCCGGATGGAACATTTGAAGTATCACCCACATATTCGCGCATAATTGCATCCACTTCCTCCCAACATTGGGCAGGGAGATCTTGGGACAACCTAAGACTGAATGAAGAAACGTCATCACATCTCTAATGAATGCAGAAAGAACAATAAAATGAGCAGTGGGTGCATAACAAGTATAATGTATGTGCAAAAGACCAAAAATTACTGCCCATTAGTAGAAATAACAATAAAATGAGCAGTGGGTGCATAACAAGTACAATGTATGTGCGGAAGACCATAAATTACTGCCCATTAGCAGTTAGTAAGGTAGGAGCCATTGTTATACAACACATCTGCACCACATAGAAACTACATTACCATGCGAGACAACTAACATATCCCAGATAACAAACAACAACAAAAAAAGGCCACTAGTAGGTGTAGCCACAAAAGAAGTGTATACCATCCACATACACCCTACACCTGCTTAACTTTCTTGCGCTTGTACACAAGCATACTTACAGCAACTTGGGATTCCATCACATGACCCCCCGATGACACTTGCACAGACACCCGATCATTCTGGGGTGGCACACCACCGACATCACCAATAAAAGGCCCAACCTGCTCATCAACAACACATGGCCCCATATGCGGAACTGTTGGCCGATGGTTGTCATCTTGTACCGCCCTAATCGCTTCATCCACAACTTGAAAGCTCTCTGGGTTACTCCAAATCTCATCCCCACTATTGGACGTGGCACCGCCCGTATTTGCAACGCCAACTGGCTTTGTAGATGCATGGATCTCAAACAAAGAAATAATCTTCCGTGCACCGGATAATACACGCAAAACTCTATCTGTGCGGGTCGAGTATTGAGGGTGAATCCCAATGAAGTGCACAACATCATCCAACGCAGCGTCTAATGCTCCCATCTTCAAAACAAACAATTCCCCAGGCGCCTGGACAATTTCAACGGATTCAAGTATTATAAAATGGCCATAAAAATTAAAATGCAAAGATGATACAGGCGTACTTGAAACGCAATAGCATGTTAAACACAACGACCTTTTCTACAATTTTGTAAAAAAGGAAAAAGTAAAAGGTCTAGTAAACCAGAGCACATACTGCGTTACAAAAAAAAAAAAAAGCATAACATGTACTACCAAAAATCAGCACGAACCAACGTATAGAGATGCACACAATAGTAGTCGTGAAACCGAGAATCATATAAATCAAGGGAGGAAAATAATACACGACCACCGAAAGACCACAATATAGTTAATTGACCAGTTCGCACACACATAGGATTGTAACGCACCCACTTGTTCAAGACCATACAAACTGAGTCAGATATTTTAAAGTGGTGGAAAAAAAATAACGGGGACAAAACAAATAATAAACACCAACGTTAAAACGCATCCGCCATTTGGAATAGAACTTCCTTTATTTGAAAGAATTAAAAAGGAAAAAGGATTCCAATTAAAGCCCAATATGAAACACATCTGGCTTGTTATAACCGGTCGCCTTTATACCAAGAATATAAAAAAAAAAAAAACAAAAACGAAACTACACGTATAATCAGAGCACAGAGTTTAGTTAAAAGAAACGGCATAGCAAGACCTATCTAAAACCGCACACACCGGGAAACGAACACGCACAGAGTTGGCAGAATTTACCCGAGTAACAT